GGCCTTTTCCTGTTTCTTATGTTAGGCTATGCCCTCTCTATTTCTGGTAATTCCATGCCGGTAGAACCTGAACAAAACTCGCATTAAGAGGCTCTAATGCCTGTATCTCAATCTCACGGCCCATGTCACCTCTACTTGCGGCCTGCATAATGACGTGAAGAAATATTTTTTTAAATTATTATTAAAAAAAATGTTTAATATAAAGCCAATAGGCAGAGTGTTACAGGCATCGCCCTAAAGAATGTAGCCTCATAAACAGTGTAGTCCGTGCTGCAGTGAGAATGGACTGCTGTACCCGTTATGTGTCTGTGAGCGAGGGAGGGAGAAAAAGGAGAGTGGAAAAGTACGAGTTGTCATCGAGCAGAAACAGGAGCTGGAAGCATGTAAATATAATAATAACCACTGCAGCCAAGAAGAGTGCCTGACGAGCCCAGTTGTAAGTAAGCTATTAAGACTCGACTGTACGCCGTGTTCGTGTTTTCCTCCAAAAACAATAAGTTCCGTTGGAGCAGCCTTTCAACGCCTCTCTCTGTCTCTCGCAAGAAAAGTTGACCCAGACAACAAAGTAAAGCTATTTTTCGGCTACGAGCCGACAGGGACCACGCCGTATTAGTCAGAGGTCCCTTTACTACAGCTCGGAGTCGCGGACCTTCAGTAATAGTAATAAATCACACAGCAATAGTACATTTACGTTGTTGTAAAAAGCATGATAATATATTAAGTAATCCAAAGTATTCAGAATACATTACTGTCATTGAGTAACGTAACGGAATACGTTACAGAATACATTTTGGGGCATGTATTCTGTATTCTGTAATGGAATACATTTTAAAAGTAACCTTCCCAACACTGGAACCTTCCCTTTCAACGCCTCTCTCTGTCTCTAGCTAGCAAAGTTGACCCAGACAACAAAGTAAAGCTAGTTTTGAGTCCAATATGGAACCCGACGTATCAGCCAGAGATGCCTTTACTATGGTTCGGAGCCGCAGACCTGTTTTATATATGCGTGGAATAGTTTTCTATACGAGATCGCTGCTAAAAGTGCAGCCTTACCTAATGTCCACCCTACTGTTACTCATTTATATTAAGATATTGGTATGGTGAATAACCTTTAGGAACAGTAATAAATCACACAGCAATAGTACATTCATGTGGTTGTAAATAGCATGGTAATATATTAAGTAATCCAAAGTATTCAGAATCTGTTACTCTCATTGAGTGACGTAACTATGTTACAAAATACATTTTGGGGCATGTATTCTGTTGTGGAATACATTTTAAAAGTAACCTTCCCAACACTGGACATCTTCCACTTTTTCTCTGACTGCTACTGAATTTAAAGTTTTTCTTTTTTTCTTTTCTGTTTTTTAATCTGAAAAAAGTGTGCTGACTCTACTGTATACTTTAAATAACCCACTAAAGTCACTTCAAAGTTGTGTTGATATAATGAGTGAATGATTTGATCTTTTCACTGCCTGCTGTGTTTCCTCGACTCCTGAGCAAAGATAAAGAGTCAGTTCAGACCTGCAGTTGGTCCTCGTGGTGTTTTGAACTTGAATTCAGCCTGATTTGTTTTTCATGTCTTCTCCTCCATCATCAGTTATCAGGAGAGCAGACAGTCAAAGTACAAGAATTCAAACAAACACAGAGATTCTACTTACAGAGCAGACACAGCACAGATGTTTCCTTCATCGTCCTTCTCACTCATTTGAGCTTTTTTTCATTTCTGTCACTGACACCAAGTAATGCCCGCCCTCTTCCTCTGAGCACCAGCTTTCTATTGGTTCAAATATAGTGGTGGGAGACTACAAATAATTTTAATTTTAAATTAATTTTTTTTAATTTAAAATTTAAACACAATAACTATGCGCACACAACAGTGTTTTTTTTTTTCTTATTTCTTATTTTTTCTGAAGTAAAACATTTGTCAGTTCACACATATGAAAAGAAACATGGCAGAAAGTCTCCTCTGCTCTCAGTGATCTGTAGTTTGGTTGATGAACAAATCCATGTCCATGTAGTTACGTCCCCCTCAGTGAGAGAGGCAGATATGAGCTGAAACACAGGAATCAAACCAGGGACGCTGCTGTTATGGAGCTGAACTGGAACCATTCAGACACTGAGGCCCTCTGAACACATTTTAATTACAGCTGTGCAGAGACACACTGATGACTGACTGGAACACTATGATTCACATTTTACATTAACACCATCCTCACACATGGTTTATATGTGGCCACTAGAGGGAGATGTTGGACTTTAAACACTAACATGGATACAAGCAGATCATGAATGATGCAGTTATTATTATTATCACATCATACTGGCTCCTAATGAAATGCCTGTATTTTATTTAACTGTTTATAAAGAGTATCTTCATTTAAACGTGTTGAGAATAAGCAGTGAAAAAAGACTGTGGACATGGTTATATGTTCAGCTGTACTTCCTGACTGAGGTTACTCAGCTACTGGTAGCTGATAAAATAAAACGTCACCTTTTTGTCCAAATATTTTATATATATCTATATAATATATATAGATATATATATTATATAGATATATATTACTGAAAATAGTAACGCTGTTACTTGTATTGCCGTTATCTTTTTACTCAGGAGATGAACCATCTATGCCACAAACTATTCCTGCGATTATTTCCTGCAAGTAGCCCATTACATAGGCGCACATCTTGCTCTAGTACAGGTAAAGTAATATAAAATATTTTATATCGATTATTTTTCAATGAAAACAAACAGTATAAATGGTAAATGGCCTGTATTTGTATAGCGCTTTACTAGTCCCTAAGGACCCCAAAGCGCTTTACATATCCAGTCATCCACCCATTCACACACTGGTGATGGCAAGCCACCCTGGGGCGCACTAACAGAGGCGAGGCTGCCGGACACTGGCGCCACAAGGCCCTCTGACCACCACCAGTAGGCAATGTGTGAAGTGTCTCACCCAAGGACACAACGACCGAGACTGTCCAAGCTGGGGCTCGAACCAGCAACCTTCCGATTACAAGGCGAACGCCCAACTCTTGAGCCACGATCGCCCCATGACTGCTATGACACGTTGTAATAATTTTACTACTGTAATTTTACTGGTGAACATTGTCTCAATTGTGGTGTTGCATTAGTGATCCGGAAGTGTATTTTTTCCAGTGCCGTGTTATGTTACAGCTCAGAGAAGGGTGTTGCACATGTACTTTGTTTAATGGGAATGCAGTTTTGTAATTTTGCAGTATTTGGAAAATACTGCAAAATTTGGAAAAAGAAGTACAGTCCATCTGGAAAGGCATTCAAAAAACTAACATTTTCTTATGTTACAGTCTTATTCCAAGATGAATTAAATTCATTTTCATCTCTACACCCACGACAATGGCAAAGAAATGATTGAAAATGTTGCAATTTTATTACAAAAATAAAATATTGTAAAATTCTGCACATTTTATACTGTGCTTTACTACTGCCATATATGAGCTACTGTGTAGAGGTCTGGGGAAACACATACAAAAGTAACACACAAACAATAACTATAATACAGAAAAGGGCCATTAGATTAATAAATAATGTAGGGTACAGGGACCATACAAATGCACTCTTTGTCAAAATGCAAGCTATTAAATTCCAAGACTTGGTGAAGCTTAAAACAGCACAAATAATGTATAAAGTAAGAAATAAACTGCTTCCAAAAGAAATCTGTAAATTGTTCATAGAAAGAGAAGGTGGGTATAACTTAAGAGGGAAATGGAATTTAAAAATACAAAGTGCTAGAACAACTTTAAGAACTATGTCTATCTCAATTGCAGGAGTTAAATTATGGAACAGTCTAACAGAAGAAATAAAAGACAGTAAAAACATAAAACAGTTTAAAGTAAAATATAAAAACCTAAATTTTAAATAAGTATAAGAATGAAGAAAACGGGGTTAACCCAGGACGGTAATGATGCTGGTAATGGTGTTGTGGTTCTTTTTTGGTTTTTTTGCTTTGGTTTGTTTGTTTTTCCATAACTTGTGTATCTGCAAATATACACCTTCTGTATTTTTCATGTGAAAGAAACTATACTGTGGTGGGGCTTGCTAATTTCTTGTTTTTGATTTATGTATGTTTTGTTTTGCTTTGCTTTACTTTTGTTTCATATGTTGTTTGTTTAATTTAAGACTAAAAAAACAATAATTAAATGAATGAGAGGTAAAACTTGAGGGTGTAGGGACAAATAAGTAAATACTTCTGCCAACTCCTTTTCAAACAAATAATGGAATGATATTTTGTAATGATTGTGAAGGCACATGTTTGAAATGTTTGAAATAAAAATAAACTGAACTGAAATAAGAGTGTGAGTGAAATGCAGGCATCTTAAAATGTTTAATAAAGGAACTTTTGTTGTGAGAAATGTAAAAGCTGTTTTAGCAGCTCTTCTCTCTTTGTTTGGCTGGAGTCAGAGTATTTCTTTAACAGGAGGACATTATTTACACTCAACTCAGCGCAGACACACCGAGGAACCAGGACGGATATAAAAACCAGGAAAAAGAGTTTCAGTGAATGTGGTGTTGAAGGTGTGGAGGTGGATCAAAGTGTCAGAGGAGACTCTGTAAAAGGACAAAGTGCCAGCAGGAGAGTCCACATACACTGCTACTCTGTTAGAGACAGAGGAGGAGGAGGAGGAGGAGATGGGGGTGGACGCGAATTCGGTATTGTGGCAGACACAAACAGGACCATCATTAGTGCAGTACAACCTCCAGGATTTATCATTTTGTCCAAACATACAGTCATTACTGCCTCCTTTCCTTTTGATGCTACTGTAACTCACTGATATATTAACGTCTCCTCTCCACTCGACCTCCCAATAACAGCGACCAGTCAGACCATTTTTACACAGCAGCTGTCTCCAGTGATCAAATCTGTCTGGATGATCCGGATATGACTGAACCTCCTCCACATGTGTCACCTTCCTGTTGTTGTCAGACAGTTGGAGGTTTGTGTTCACTGTGTTTGTGTCGATTGTGAGTTGACAGGAATCTGATGGAGAGAACAAACACAATCGACCTGCAGTTATTGATCCATCATCTGTTCATTGATTGACACTTTGATGATGACTCCTGACATCAGAGATGTAAATGAGCGATGTGACAGTTTGAAGGTGGTTGAATGTGTGCCGCTTTGTTTTCATGAATCACATTAAAAACACACTTACACTTCCTCAGACCTCCATGTCTCAACCATCGGTCTCCAGCAGGCTCCACCCTGAAAGGAGGAGGAGGGTCAGACCAGCACAGTCTCTTTCAGCATGCACACATAGACATTACACAAACTCATACACAAACTATTAGACACTGATAAAGGAACAGTCCAACATTTTCACAAATACACTTCAATCCATAAGTAGATCAAACTGCTGATGATTTGGACTGATCCTGGATCTGTCAGTACATCACTGTATTGAATGAAATATGACTGATTCAAACAGTGACCTTCATTATTTTTATATTCCTCTTCTGTTTAGCTGGAAAGGACACCTCCCTGCCATTGCAAATATTTGTGAAAGTTGCTAAAATGCTAAAAGAAAAATGCAAAACTTAGCACTTTACGTTACACATAACATCGTTAAATGTCGCCCTTTCTATCTCTCTCGGGAATTCACTGCGGTCATTGCCTGCACTGTTTATATTCCGACTTATTCCGACACACTGCCTTATGTGAGCTACATGGGGCTCTCACACATCAACAAACACTTCACTAAGATGGCATTTGGAAAATCGGGTCATGCCGCCTGCTTACAAACAAAGGCTAAAGCAGCAACCACCAATCAGGAGGAAGGTCGCTCGCTGGACGGACCAATCAGTGACCGCGCTGCAGGACGGACTGGATGATGCAGACTGGGACATGTTTCGGCGTAGCTCTAATGACATCAACATGTTTACGGAAGCGGTTGGGGGATTTATCGGGAAACTAGCGGACAACACAGGAGAAAGATCTATAATCCGAACATTTCCCAACCAGAAGCCGTGAGTGGATAAAAACATCCGCAACGCTCTGAGATCACGCAGCGCTGCCTACAATGAAGGGCTCGTCTCTGGTAATATGGACCTATACAAGGCTGCAGTTTTATGCTCGCTTCGAAGCCGCAGCAATTAAAACAACAAACGGCTGCGCGCGCTCGGAGTGCACCAGTGAAGACAATGCATTCATCATCACAGAGCATGCCGGGAGGAACACCTTCAGGAGGGTGAACACCAGGAAGGCAGCAGGACCAGATGCAATCCCTGGCTGGGTCCTGAGAGCCTGCGTTGACCAGCTAGCACCGGTGTTCACGGAGATCTTCAACCTCTCCCTGGCCCAAGCTGTGGTTCCCACGTGCTTCAAACAGTCCATTATTGTTCCTGTTCCAAAGAAACAACAGCCCGCTTGCCACAATGACTACCGTCCAGTAGCACTGACTTCAATTGTGATGAAGTGTTTTGAAAGACTGATGAGAGATCACATCACTTCTTCACTTCCTGCCACCATCGACTCACTTCAGTTTGCTTACCGGACTAATCGTTCCACAGACGATGCCATATCTCACCTGCTCCACACATCCCTGAGTCACCTGGACACTGGCAGAGGGAATTATGTTAGGATGCTGTTCGTGGACTACAGTTCAGCATTCAACACAATAATTCCCTCTAAGCTTTTCACCAAGTTGACGGATCTAGGACTCAGCTCATCACTGTGTCAGTGGATCCTCAACTTCCTCACAGACAGACCCCAATCAGTGAGGGTGGGAAAACAAGTCTCCCCCTCCATCTCACTCAGCACTGGAGTGCCTCAGGGCTGTGTTTTAAGCCCCCTGCTGTACTCACTGTACACTTATGACTGTGTAGCCACATCAGACACCACCTCCATTGTCAAGTTTGCTGACGACACTGTTGTTGTGGGCCTGATCTCCGACAACATCGAGACGGCCTACCTGGAGGAGATTAGGAACCTGGAGACCTGGTGCCAGGAGAATAACCTCCTCCTAAACGTCAGTAAGACTAAGGAGCTGATTGTGGACTTCACTACAAAGCAGGCGAGGAATTACAAGCCCCTCACCATCAGCGCCACGCCAGTGGAGAGAGTGGACAGTTTCCGATACCTGGGTGTCCAGATCACTCAGAACCTGTCAAGGTCCTGTCACATCAACACCCTGGTTAAGAGAGCCCGTCAGCGTCTCTTCTTCCTCAGAAGACTTAGAGACTTCCATCTGCCACTGAGGGTGCTCAACTTTTACTCCTGCACTATCAAGAGCGTCCTGACGGGAAACATCTGTACCTGGTTTGGGAACAGCACCAAGCAGGACAGACGAGATGTGCAAAGAGTGGTGCGCTCGGCCGAACACATCATTCAATCAGAGCTCCCTGACCTGCTGTCCATCTACACCAAGCGGTGCAAGACCAAAGCTAGGAAGATTATGATGGACCTCTCCCATCCCAACAATGGACTCTTCTCACTGTTGAGGTCTGGGAAGCGCTTCCGCTCCCTTAAGGCCAAAATAGAGAGAATGAGGAGGAGCTTCTTTCCCCAGGCTATTCGGGCCCTGAACCAGGTGTAGGACTGGACTCTCCCACACACATCACATCACTATAGGACTGGACTCTCACACACATCAGATAACCACACTCACTCTGGTTTTTCTTCATGCACACTTCCTATAATTTATAATCTCTTACTGCAATTTGCACATTTTTACTGTAAATCTGTAAAAAGTTAAATCTGTAAATTTTTTAATAACCTGTAAATTGTAAATGCTGTAAAACCACTGTCATTTAACCCTTTAAGACCTACCATAGAACCAAGTCCGCCAGAGCTTATATTATATTTTTACATGCTGTAGTGCCATTTTTGGGAGCATTTCAAGTTGCTATACATCAATACAACCATTATAACCCAAATTTTAATAGTATGTATGCATTAAGTGCATACTAACTACTTAAATTGCAAAAAAGTGCAATAAACTACAAAAAAAATTTAAAAATCGTTTTTGTTTTTTTAACATATATTTCTAGTTAGAGAAATTTAAGAGGCTTATCCCTCAAAACTGTAAATACAGAAAAGTTGCACAAAGTAGTTTCCCACCACAAGAAATTTATTTTGAGTGCTTTCATAGTTTTATTTTTGAAATACACCAATTTTACATACTGCAGAAAAAAATGAAAATAAATATTGTAATGCAAATTTGCAAAAAAAACGGCATATGCATCAAAATAAACTATTTCCAGCAGTGCAATATGAGTTCTAAGCATCCCAGAAATGATACAGAAAGTCATAAAGTCACAGATAACTTTTAAAAACACCAGTATAGGCTCATGAGGCCCTGAAGTTAAAAAACCCTACATTTCCGTGAAAATGACCGTCACTTCCGGTTTCGGGCAGGTAATGGCGGACATGCGATAGTTCACGCTGACGTCTAGTCCAACGTAGGAAGTGTTACGAACAGCTGATCGGATCGGCAAAGCCTGTTTCTGGAATATTATGTTTTTGTTACTGCAAGCGCTTTTTATGCAATTTTTGCAAAGCTATATGTGGAAGGAAACTGTGAACTAGGGCAAGCTGATGGCATAAGATGTAAGTACAACTCCTCCGCTTTCATATTCAAAAAAAATTATTGCGCTAGCTCACGTGGTTGAAGTGCTACCAGGATTTAAAAATAGTTACGCAAAACAGAGCGTGCCCGCTCTGACCGGTTTTAAAGGGCTGGGGTCCCGGGTATAATTGGCTGTTTTTGACTACTTTTGATTTTACCTCTATATTTCACCTTTAAAATAGGTTTTTCTTGCCTTGTTTGGTATCATTATTTTCAGCACAACCTCAAATATCTGAAATTCGAGTCATTTTTTCATTTTGGTATACTATATTAGCACAGTTGATCTAAATTCAGACAAAAAATTCAAAACCCGAGTAGAAAAAAGTTCTATTTCTTACTGTAAAACCCATAAACATGTTTAACGAATCATTTTCATAACTTGAAATGCAAATAGAAATTGTACATTTCTAAAAATTATGCACAAGTTTTGCAAACAACAAAGTTATATGGTACTATTTACCTAAAAATGCAGCCAAGGCCTCAGGCGTTTTTTTTATATAACCATTTAAATCTATTTACAGAACAAGCAGGTGTTCTGCATCAAATAAGAAGGCACACAAATCATTTGTGCCAGTCCAAAAAATGTAGTTTGTGTTCAGTATAAGACAGAGGAGAACAGCACAGGCCTAAACCCTGCAGGTCTGACAGCAGGAGGTGCATGAGTCCAGTTTTCCATGTGGGAACAGCGTTTACACGCCTTTGACGGCTTTATTTGGAGAAAATGTGAAATTCTAAGCAGTCTAACTGACACAATACAAAACAATAACTACACAACACACTAACTACAGCCTCCAAACATGCTAAACGTCACTAATGTCTCACATATGAAAACTCGCTCTCACTCTGTCTTTCGCTCGCCCACTTTCCGTCGTGGGTGTCACTCCTAAAAACTTCCCCATCTCCCTAAACAACCAAATGTCACATGTTGCCATATCATTTTTTTTGATTGGCTGACATGGTAAACTCTAACACCAATAGGGAAGGGGTGTATTTTCTTTTTCTTTTTTCACTCGCAAGTGCAGTGTTTGCTAGCACTGTCTGTAGAAAACGCAGTTTTTACCGTTCTTCCCGCTGTAAACACCACTGTTTTGTTCAGAAAACAACATCGCGTGTATTTTTTAATCATAACTCTGGTTTTAGGTGGCCCATTGACATAATTCAAAAACTGGTATATAGTTTGAAGTCTGCACTTTCGACCCAAGTTGAAATGGAGACTCTGACTTACTGTAGCTGTGTCGTCTTAAATTGGTCATGTGAGTTTGACACGCCGGCGCATCCGGCGACACCAGAGGGTTAAAATGCACAGTAGAAAAGCACTGAGCAGCACATTTTCACCACACATGAGTGGAAAGAGAAAGGCATGGGGGTCTCCACACCCCTGTTCTCTTTTCGCCTTTGGGGCCGGGGCACCGGCAGGAGGTTGGGCCATCTAGTTGGGGTCTGGGATGCTGGGCCTCCCTGCTGCTGTAGGACCGGGGATGGTCTGATTGTCCCCACCCCAGGGTAAAGGGTAATATCTCCTGGGTCTTGGGGCAGATTGCCCCTCTGGGGGTGATGGTACCTGGAGCTGGGGTATAGCTGACTGGGGTCAGCTGGTGGGTAACAGGCATCTCCGAAAACGTTAGAGTACTTTTGCATATATGTGATGTGTTGATAAATCGAGCAGATATTTGAAGTTTACACAGCAACATTCTCGCCTGAAAATATCTTAAAAGTTTAGGTCTGCAGATGTCTGTGAGCACACAAAGCAGAGATCTGAGCAAGAGCAAATGCCAACAACTCAGCAAGGGGGGCTGTTATTGTGTGTGTATATGGATAATCGCAAACACTGAAATACATTTCTTGCACGCAGAAATGAATTTTGTCCCCTCAATTCAATTCAGTTCAATTCAATTCAATTTTATTTACGTAGCGCCAAATCACAACAACAGTCGCCTCAAGGCCAATTAAACTTTTGTTCACTCAAAATAATTTTCTCCTCAACATAGAAAGGAAATATTTCCAGCTCTTCCTCCTCTATCAGACATTCTCTCCATACCTGAGAGAAGCCAGTCTCCAGCGTGGATCCTTCTGTCCAGCCAACAGCAACCTCATTCCTGAGTGACCTGGATGATTGTAGCTCAGGTCCAGCTCTCTCAGATGGGAGGGGTTGGAGCTCAGAGCTGAGGCCATATAAGTACAGCCTTCCTCTGTGATCAGACAGCCTGACAGACTGCAGGCACAAAAAAACGGAAATAAATCCAGCTGTGAATGCTGCTGGTAGCAGGCACATGGGGGGAGGGGGGCTAGTACATACTGCTAATGGCATATTAAAAATTAAATTTGCAGGTAATTAAAGAGAAAAGCACATGTAGATTAATTTAATGTAATTAATTTTTAATTTGCAACTAGAAAAGTTACATTTCCTGCAAAAATGCAGTGTGAATGCTGTGTAGTGGAAATCGTCTTCCAAAAACAGCTGAAGAAGTATCTGCTGAAAGGAGGTATAGAAGCTAAACTGAGAGCGAGAAAGTTTGCAGTTCACACAATTGGCATTTTACATAGATGCTCCGTATCTCATTGTACAACTGTATAGTGACAGTAAACCCATTCTATTCCATTCTATTTATTAATTTATTTTGTTTGTTTAGTTTTCCAAAGTTATTTTTTGTATTATTTATTTATTTATTTATTTAATTTAAGGAAGTCAAAAAGGATAGATGCGGAAATGTTTAAAATTCTCATCATGTATTCTGCCTAAAACAAACAATTTCATCAGGGAATAAGGGTTAACATGAATAAATCAAACTCCAATATATATATACATATTCTGTAAATAGCTACAGAATACAGAAAATGAACCAAACTGGAAAGTTTTGTTGATGGAATTAAATAGTTTTGAAATATTGGAGAAGATAAAAGTATAATTTGGGGAAACTATGCTAGGGACTTCCTTTTAGCCTTTGCTGTAATGTCATAGTGTACCTTCCTTTCATTTTTCTAGGTTTATTGCATGACTTTTGAGTCACTGGTGATGTCCCATGTTTAACTTTTAGACTTGGACTTCCCGTTAAATAAAAGGTCCATTTGCTTCCGCTTATCCTTTTCAGGGTCACTGCCATAGGGCAGGGTACACCCTTGACAGGTCTATCTCAGGGCTTACACATAGAGACAAACAACCATTTGCACTCAAAATTCACACCTGTGGCCCATTTAGAATGACCAATTAACCCCACTAACTGCATGTCTTTGGACTGTGGGATGAAGCCCGTAGTACCCGGAAAGAACAATGGAAGCACAGGCAGAACATTCAAACTCCACACAGAAAGGACCCGGTGAGGTGGTGGAATTGATCTCAGGACCCGCTAACCACTGTGCCCATGCTGCTGTAAATAAAAGGTTTGAAGTACATTTGCTGCAATCCTGTATGAAACAATTTGTAACAATGAAAATAAATTGATATGTTATGAATCCAAAATATCTGAAATCTCTCAACAGACCATTGCTTAAAAAGCATGTTATACACACAGGTTCATGCTCAATGATTTTTTTAAAAATGGATATGAAAATGAACAAATACAAAAAATAATTCAGAGACTAATACACCTGAATATGAATAAAATGTCAATCTAGAATTAAACAATATTTTCTTTCAGCAATAGTATAATCCAGATTATAAATATTTTATTACCAACCCCCTTATACTCCCACGTATTAGATATTTTGTCCTCTGCATTTAACCCATTCACTCATTGATGCAATGGGCAGCTACTAATCCAGCACCTGGGGAGCAGTGTGTAGACACGGTACCTTGCTCGAGGGTACCTCAGGGTAGCTGTTTGGTGGATTTGAACCCCCCACCTTCTAATCATGGGGCGGCCACTCAAACTACTAAGCTATACGTGTCATAGATAATACATTCATAAATGAATAACAAAAAAATAAACCTCACCTGATAGTTTCCAGGGTACAGTTTGGAGTCTTCAATCCAGCAGACAATAGCTTTACTCCTGAGTCTTGCAGGTCATTGTTACTCAGGTCCAGTTCGCTGAGACTCGAAGACTGGCAGCTGAGAACTGAGCACAGAGCTTCACAGCTTCTCTCTGAGAGGTTACAACTAGACAGTCTGAAAATCAGTAATATTTGTGATCAAATTAAATGACTTATTTTCAACTTACCACAAACAAAAAACAAACAATTCCATGTCCACTTCATAAATAAGCATACAACTTGTAATTCATTATCACAATTAATTCTCGCATATTGTACCCTGATGCATTCATCCTTTGTTGGAAACAAACTGCTTTAGCTTCTTCCAAGAATTTTTATTATTGTCTTTATATTTATATTAGTTTTTGGAGAGTAAAAGAAAAGCTCTGTGTCGACTTTGATAATGGTTACATCCACAAACTTTTTAGAGATGCTAAGACTTCCTGCTGCTATAAACTGTATATTGCAGAAATATTTCATCAACAAAAATGTGCATAGATGTTTACTTACAGAGCTTTGTTGGAGGCTTTGACCACTGGCAGCAGCCTCAAAAGAGCCTTCTCTGAAGCGGAGTATTTCTTCAGGTCAAACACATCCAGATCTTTTTGTGATGACAGTAAGATGAAGACCAGAGCTGACCACTGAGCAGGAGACAGTTTATCTGTGGAGAGACTTCCTGAACTCAGGGACTGTTGGATCTCCTCCACTAGAGAACAATCATTCAGTTCATTCAGACAGTGGAACAGATTGATGCTTTTCTCTGCAGACAGATTCTCACTGAGCTTCTCCTTGATGTACTGGACTGTTTCCTGATTGGCCTGGGAGCTACTTCCTGTCTGGGTCAGCAGGCCTTGTAGGAGAATCTGATTGGTCTGCAGTGAAAGACCCAGGAGGAAGCGGAGGAACAAGTCCAGGTGTCCATTTGGACTCTGTAAGGCCTTGTTCACAGCACTCTGGTAGAAGTGTTTCCCTGCAGATTCTCTTATTTCAGACTTCTGGGATGTTGTTTGTTCTTCTTCCAGCAGATTGAGTCCAGAGTTGATGAAGGTCAGATGGACATGAAGAGAAGCCAGAAACTCCTGAACACTCAGATGGATGAAGCAGTACACCTTGTCTTGGTACAGTACTCTCTCCTCTTTAAAGATCTGTGTGAACACTCCTGAGTACACTGAGGCTGCTCTGATATCGATGCCATACTCTGTCAGGTCTGATTCATAGAAGATCAGGTTTCCTTTCTGCAGATGATCAAAAGCCAGTTTTCCCAAGGACTCAATCATCTTCCTGCTCTCTGGACTCCAGTGTGGATCTGTCTCAGCTCCTCCATCATACTTGACCTTCTTCACTTTGGCCTGAACCACCAAGAAGTGGATGTACATCTCAGTCAGGGTCTTGGGCAGCTGTCCTTCCTCTCTGGTTTTCAGCACATCCTCCAGAACTGTAGCAGTGATCCAGCAGAAGACTGGGATGTGGCACATGATGTGGAGGCTTCGTGATGTCTTGATGTGGGAGATGATGGTGCTGATCTGCTTCTTATCTCTAAATCTCTTCCTGAAGTACTCCTCCTTCTGTGGGTCAGTGAACCCTCTGACTTCTGTCACCATGCTGACACAGTCAATAGGAATCTGATTGGCTGCTGCAGGTCGTGTGGTTATCCAAAGACGAGCAGAGGGAAGCAGGTTCCCCCTGATGAGGTTTATCAGCAGCACATCCACTGAGCTGGACTTTCTAGGGTCAGTTAGGATTGTAGTTTTGTGGAAGTCAAGAGGAAGTCGGCACTCATCCAGACCATCAAAGATGAACAGAACCTGGAAGTCTTCAAAGCTGCAGATTCCTGCTTCTTTGGTTTCAGTAAAGAAATGATGAACAAGTTCCACCAAGCTGAACTTTACCTCTTTCACCACATTCAGCTCTCTGAAAGTGAATGGAAATATGAACTGGATGTCCTGGTTGGCTTTGTCTTCAGCCCAGTCGAGGGTGTATTTCCGTGTTAAGACTGTTTTCCCAATGCCAGCCATTCCCTTTGTCACCACTGTTCTGACTGGTTCATCTCTTCCAGGTGAGGCTTTAAAGATGTCTTCTTGTGTGATTATTGCTTCTAGACTGTCTGTTTTAATGGATGCTGTTTCAATCTGTCTGACCTCATGTTCATCATTGACCTTTGCTGTCCCTCCCTCTGTGATGTAGAGCTCTGTGTAGATCTGATTCAGGAGGGTTGGGTTTCCTGCTTTAGCGATCCCCTCAAACACACACTGGAACTTCTTCTTCAGTGCAGATTTAAATTCATGCTGATGCCACTGCAAGTTCCTAGTGAAGGTTCCTGAGTGACCCAGTACACACACACACACACACACACACACACACACACACACACACACACACACAATGAAGGAGTTATGAAGTGCGCATATTTAAAATCTATTTTTGTCTATTTCTTCAGACATTGTTGAACTTTTTAGCAACGTAAATATTTAGAGAGTAATTCTCACTTCTCAGCAAACGTTCAGCAACCGTATTCTGCTTCATTCTCTTCAGGAAGTCCACTGTAATGGTGACAAATGCTTCTCTGCTGCTCTTCCTCTGTTCTTCATCCACACTCTGTAATACATCCTCATAATCACATTGACTCTTAAAACATTGTAGGTCATCTGGACTCAAGTCTCTCTGGATCTTCTTCAGCTCATTCTTCACAAAAGTGATTATTTTGTCCTCCAGTATCTGGAACAGAATATTTTATGAATGACCCAAACACTTTTCTTACACAGGAGAGAAAAGAAGAATATACAATGAGGTATTTTTCTGGGAATCAGTTTAAATACACTATAAATACAGACTATTCTGTTCCCAAAGTGGGGGCATGCCCCCTTGAGGGGGGGGGGGGGGGGTGCAGAGACATTGCAGGGTGGGCGCGGTATGACAAATAAAAAATAAAAAGAATGCTTGGATACTGGTACCATAATGGACAGCTTTTTTTTTTTGATGGGGCTTCCACACAAATGCAAAGCAGAGGTTGAAGCAGCATCAAATATTCTTCCAAACCAAAGACTAGAACAGTAGCTGCCGTGCCAAGCTAGGTATCCCCGAAAGAATTTGTTTCCCCTGTGTCGGGAGCACACGCTGGGCTGTCCAAATCACAGACAAACAGTATCCCACATGCTTGATTTTTAGTTCACAACCGCTTTTTATAACGACTAACTTCCCCTGAAACTTTGGAGGTTTTAGCTCTTTACAGTAAAGTTTTTGGAGGATAAAAATAATTATCAGGCAAAATGTCCTTTGTTTGTTAAAATAATACAGTCCGATACCACGTGAGAACAATAAATATATAAATTTCTGTTGCAACCCTCAAAATGAATGGTTATGTAATGACACTCGTTTTTCACTTTTTCACAAAACTAAAACGTCACTACTTCCGCGTGTAATTGGCGACATTATTTGAAAAATGTATTGATAGCAGTCTACACAGACACACATACACATATCACTGATCACATCACATCCTCATAGACACACACACATCAGATTTTCTCTGTTACAGACTAGGGATGGGTATCGTTTAGGTTTTATCCGATACCGGTGCCAAATCGGTACTTTTGAAACGGTGCCGGTGCTCAAACGGTGCTCAAACCGGTGCTTAAAGACTGGAGAACACAAAATTGGTCCAAAAACCTCTCATGTTCAGCTGGTTTTTTGTAAAAAAGATAACAATGTTAGCCTTTTCTGCAGCTATGGGGCATATATGGTATCACTCTTGGCTGGAAGCAGTGCTTAATCAATGGGAAAAAAACACAAACTTTGTCCAAAACCTCTCATGTTTAACTGTTTTCCACTTTTGCTTTGGTCATTTTAGCCTTTTTGGCCAGGGTGAAGGGAGTATCTGCCATCAAACAAGAAGACAGCCGCATGTAGCTATGATGATGTTTGCTAGTTCACCTTACATGCATTAATTTAGTAACGTGGTTAGCCTACTCAACGTAAATTACACGCGAACAACATTAAGCTACTCACGCAGAGAAGAACGGCTGCTGCTGCCATCATCATCCGTCATCATTTCTGCTACACTGGCAGGGCTAGGGGCCAGGACTCTCCTCTTCGTGTTTTTGGGGGATATTGCTAACTCCGGTCCGATAACAGGCACCACACCCGCAGTAGATGTGCTCGGTGTGAGGTCTCGCAGCAAGCTATCAAATACTGCGCATTTCTGGGCTTTTAAAAAACGCTATGCGTCGCCAGGTGTTTCATCGGATTTGAGGTGTTACCTCCTTTGACAGTATCACAGTATCAGCTTAAAGCACTTGTTGCAGGCTGCTGAGTTTGCATCTTTTGCTGTGAAGTACAGCCAGACTTTTGACCGCTTCACCTTGGACATTTTTAATCTGTAGCTCTGCTCTAAAAGAACGTACGTACCTGGCCCCGCCTACTATCCTCGGAAACGTAAAATTATTGGCTAGAAGTGTATCACAGCTCAGGAAAAAAAAGCACCGAAATAAAGCACCGAAATGTGCGCTGCTTTTCGGTCTGGTTACTACCGTTTATGTCAGAACGACACCGGTACCCATCCCTATTACAGACACACATGACACATGTTCACATGTGAGTGTTTTATCTGTTGCATGATTAATGAGATGTTTGTGTGACCACTGAGTTAATAAAAGGCTGCAGGGGAGGCTGGCTCTTTGGAGTTGTCTGGGATTAGGTGAGGAGCTTGCAGCTCCAAGACCCTGGTCCTATCAGCTCCCTCTGCAAGTTAAAATGGATTGAGCTCTGTCTTGCTTTGTTCACGGGAATAAGTCTCTAAACCAGCGGGGCCTGCAAAGTGCAGACCTAACAGTTTACAAAAGGTTTGAAGTGTGGAATAAACTGCAATGGAGTTTGAAAACAAAATGTGTGTGTGTGTGATTGAAGGAGGTGTTTGTGGGGGTGGGGGAGGGGGGGTCCTAGCAAAAACAGTTTGGAAACCACTGCTATAGTCAAACTATAATTTTTATGATCCCTCAGCAGCTGGCTCTACGTAATCCATAGAGTACACTGCATGACATTAAATTGTTATTCAGACCTGAGGAGCCTAGATGTTCCCAATGCACCCTTAACTTTGAAATACTAAATATTAATATTATTACTTCATCATCATATTTCCACATACAAAATATTATTTATCATTCCCCGCAGTCGACAATACTACTGTTCTTATACTAGCTCTGGTTGTATTCCCAATGGATTATTATAGTTTATCCTTTCTAGATTATAGAGACATTTGTTTGATAGACTTCAGCTGGTGCAAAATACAGCTGCTTCTGTCATTAATAGAACCCATTAGTGCTGTCCTTCAACCACTTCACTGGCTTCCTGTGAAAAATCACACTGATTTTAGATTCAGCTTCTTACTTCAAAGTCTCTCCATAAAGTCACACCTCCATATCTGATCTTCCTCATATCACCACTCCTTCCCGTTCTCAAAGATCATCCTCTTTGGTTACTGTTATTTTTTCCATCTGCTCATATTACCCTTAAGTGCTTTCGGCTGAGTGTCCACTGGAACTTACTCCCACACCACATTCACAACATTAGTTTTCGCACTGAAGTTGCCTTAAAACACGTCTTTTTAAACTTGCCTTTTCTGATTCTGATTCTTTTCTGATTGATTTATTATTTAATGTTATGTAGTATGTTCTCTTTCAAGTGTTATTAGCGATACTGTGATTGGTTTATTTAATTGCTTGTAAGGCTTACTCGATTGATTGAAAGGCGCTTTTAAATAAAATTTTATTTTATTGCATTCATTAATTTTGGCCTGCTGAGCTCCAAAAGTGTAGGCTTTTTTTTTTTTCCTAAAATACTGAGATGTGCTTGATATTTGCCAATGTATTTGTAGTGGAGGCAAAAATCTGACCACAGCATTCTGTTCAGCTCGCTCTACCCTCTGAGCCAGAACCCAGCATGGAGATGACTGTGAACAGAATAGATGTAAAAATAGTTGTTGTACAAGTACAGACCATAAATATAGAGTCCAGGTCTGTTTGATGCTGCTGGGTAGACTGACCACTGGGAACCTCTGAGCTCTTCTGGTCCACTCTGTGGAGACATCATAAAGAATCAGAATAATACAACAACACATTATAACCTAAAATGCAACCTGCTGGTCCTGTGAACTAAAAAAATAAAATACATTAAAAAAAAACATAAAGAAAAAACATTCCAATTAGGGCTGGGCCAAATCATACCGTTCACGGTAATACCAGTATAATGTTGGGCAACGATAAGAAAATGAAATATCGCGATAGAATATGGGCAAAACGCGCATGCGCAGTGCCTTTTTTTTTTCATACGCACATGGCGGAAAAAGCATGGTGGCAACAGAGAATGAGAAGGGTGAAAGTAGATCGTTGAATGAAATGGATGAATCAGAATTGGTTTCTAAAAATGCTGCAGCTTCAGTGGTGTGGAACTGGTTTAGCGTTCGTCCGTCAGATACACAACAAAGCACAATTTTTGGTAGAGCATGCTAGCGGGCCGTCATTATGACCGTGTTTTTTGGAAAATACGGCACACTTAAAATCAATCCTTTGATTTTTCTTAAAATCGACAGTACCCCTTATAATCTCGTGTGCCTTATGTATGAATTCTGGTTGTGTTTACTGACCTCAAAACGATTTTATGTCGTACACGGCGCTTGAAAATCTGTCAAATGTTTTAGTACTACTTTGCTAAGCTACAAACCTGCACCGCTTAATGGATTGTCGAAGCATTTCGGCTATCGTAAGCAGGAGCCTCGCGGAGTGATACGTACTGTGCTTCAACATAATATTACCGTATTGTGTGTGTATAACCTCTTTGTAAGTTTTGTGGATATTATACATGGTTATGCTGAGGACATGTCGGCCAATTTCCACTGGAAATGCCTTTTGGTTAAACTGTCAGCAAGGAATTTGCATTTGTACTGTTAATTTTTATATAACTTTAATGCACATAAAAAAACAGCTGCTTGTTTAAGTGAAAATAAATTGGCTTTTTTTGCACTAATAAAGTTGTGGAGTTGTAAAGTATTTTGTCTTGTGTCAATTATATCGTCAGTTATATCGGTATCGCAAATTTTCAAATGTATATCGTGATAAATATTTTTGGTCATATCGCCCTGCTCTAATTCCAATTTGGTAATGCCTGGCACTCTGATGATATCCTATCTGACAGAAAGCCATCATGTCATTTCTCTTATCTTAACATTCTCTTGTTATTGTAATATTCTCTTGATATCTGACAATGGGTTAACACCCTAGCAACATGCAACTCCAGTCACTGTATGAATCCAAACTCTGATAATAAAAGATGAACAGTGATTTTCGGTTTTGTAAAAATACTGTTAACAAAAAAAAATGGCTATTAAAAAATATGAAAAGCATTCAATATTTTCAAAGAATTTGCCATAAAACTATGAAATCTCAGACCGTTCTCACTACCGAAGCATAACATACCGACGATTTGTCACATGCCGAGGCGTCCCATGGCAACGCAAAAGGTAACCTTCTGCGTTCCTATGATAGGCGCTGGGTTGTGGATGGAATCCAATAGAATGACACTCCTGGTAGTAACACACATCAGCCGTGTATTCTGGCTCTAACCGTAACCGAACCATAACCTTATCTCTAACCTTAACCTTAATCATGTTAGATAGTGTTTTCCAAAGTGATTCATGATGAGAAAGTAAAATAAATGTGCAGATTCAGTCCAAATAGTTCTCATGTTTCCTCATTTTTCCAAACACGTAACATAGAAACATGTTGGGTGGCCAAAAGCATAACATACCGACGATTTG